GCTCTCTTGAGGGACTCATATGAGTAGATTTTGGAGAGGTTGGTTTGCTGTCTTTAGTGCAGCTTTTCGCAGCAATAAAGGGAACAACCTGACTCAAAATGATGGACAAAGCATAGGACTGGACTGTTATTAATTGCATATGCAACTTCAGCAAAAAAGCTCAATACCCTTTATTTTGCAAATACATTACTTAATTGTAATTCTATGAACTATATATATCTGGCATATTGTAAAGTTTGAGAAATGTCATCATGTTTCTATTATGTAAAAGTCCTTGTTGATGTTAATAAAGCATATTTTTCTGATTTTGGATAAGTGGTTAAATGGTTTCATTATAGGCTGAATTAAGGGTCACTATGTGAAATACCACTGATAAAAATAAGATTGCATCATCAAACAGTAAATGATAATGATACACATTTGTTAATCTCTAATTTTTATCCAGTATGAAATTCCAACCAGAATGCTTTTGTGGAGGTGGATTCAGATATATTATATAAAATTCTGGCAAAGAAACATAAGGAGCATCATGAACAAATTTAAAAACTAAAAGCAGTGTTCTATTTCACGTGAGAATACTATTTTCCTTGGATTTGGTACCTTGCAAAATATCAATAAGTAAACAACGTCGCACTCTCTTGCTATGTCCAGGTAACACGAAAACTTTATTTGTTGGTTTCTTCGTTGGAGGTGAACAATAAAAAAATGTGATTGTATTGGTTAAAATTTATGTAAAGCATTGCATGTCAGCATACACTTTTTTCCTTAAGAAAATGTTCATAAAAGATTTTTTCTCATTACACTTTATAAGTTTGCAAGATAATCTAACAAATACTACAAGTAAATTACGAATGTTACTTATCATTTTTTCCTTAAAAAAACTGATATTGATTCATACGAGGAAAAAAGACAGAAATAGTAGCACAATACCAATTCTGCTTTCTTGACTCTCTTAAATGAAAGAAACCATCATGATTATTGAAAAAAAAGGTGGAAAGGAAGCATCAAATCCATAATTGATCTCTAGGTTGAGGATCAATCAGGTGGGGGGATAGTTGTTCTCCTTTGTAAAATTCAGAGTTTTGGCTCAAGAAACGGCTAAAGCAGATTTCCAATCAATCAACTCATCTATCACAAAATACGTAACAGCTTAGAACTTAATTAATCATAATACAATGGCTGTAAATTGACATTAGTTTGCAAATCTTGATGCAATGGCCATATATTAGATAGCACAACAACAAACCCATATTATCAAGTAAGTATAATCCTTTGGGCCTATAAGAAACAAGTGAACCCATGTCTTCTTAGTACCAAAAGGCGTTTTTCAAATAACACACTACAAGAAATTTGAACTTTTGTGACAATATTCTCAGTGACAAAATAGAAACCAGTCACAATTGAGAAAATACAGTGACAACTTTTGATGTCGTCATAGTTGACTGTGGGTACACTTGTCAACAGTGACAACACCGGATAAATCATCATAATATGGATGGCGTGCAACTAGCCGGTGTGGCGGGAGATCACCATTGTGACGACTGGAAAATAGGTTGTAAAATAGGTCCTATAGTGACAACTTAAAATATCATCACAACATGGTTGTCTACTTCGAATTAATGACAACAACTAGTCGTCACTGTCCAAAGTGTTTGTTCCTAACTCACTTTCACTGATTCTACTATGTCACCCTAATTTTTTCAATATGGCCCATATGTTGTAAATAAATTTTATTAATTCTACTATGACACCCTAACTTTTACAATTGAACCCCGTATGTGGTAACTAATCTCATTAACTCTACCATGACAACTTATTTTTTGCAATTTAGGTTCACATTGTGACGACTTGGGAAAACGTTGCCACTGAAATGGGCCCTATAGTGACAACTTACAATGTCGTCACAATAGGATAGCTGGTTCAGAACTAGTGACAAACAATTAGTCGTCACTATCTAAAGTGTTTGTTCCTAATTCACTTTCATTAATTCTACTATGCCACCCTAATTTTTTCAGTATGGCCCATATGTTGTAAAAAAATTTTATTAATCATGTTATGACACCCTAACTTTTACATTTTTGCCACATATGCCACTTTAATTTTTCAATATGGCCCATATGTTGTAAATAAATTTTATTAATTATGTTATGACACCCTAATTTTTATATTTTAGCCCAAATAAATTTTATTAATTATGTTATGACACCCTAACTTTTACATTTTAGTCCCATATGCCACCCTAATTTTTTTAATAAGGTCCATATCTTGTAAATAAATTTTATTAATTATATTATGACATCCTAACTTTTACATTTTAGCCTTGTACGTGGTAAACTAATTTCATTAACTCTACCATGACACCTTATCTTTTGCAATTTAGCCTCGTATGTGATAAACTGATTTCATTAATTCTATTATGGTACCTTATGCTTTACACTTTACACCATTGGCAAAATGAGGAAGGTATTGTAATAAAAATGTACCCATATTTTTAATTGCTCCAAACTTAGCTAATAACTTGTTGTAAAGTTAAAAAATATCATGGATTCGTTATTTAGTTCTCTTGACAACATATGGGAAATTACTAATTAACATAGTGTGAAAATAATGGTAAAGAATAATGAAATTTAATATGAAATTAAGTAAAAATCTTGACAATTGCATGACTGGAGTTTATTATTAATTATAATTTACAATAGTCAAATTGTTTATGGTTTATGAATCGATACTTGTACCAAATACATTTAGTGTTTCATGCATCTATTAGCAAACTATTTTGGTAATTTGATCAACTTAACAGATTGTTAGGTCTTTTCAGACCACAATTCATGCATAATTGATAAAATTATTAAATTGATACCAAAAATATTTGCATTAAAAGATCTTTTTTTGAATCATAAACATATTTTTAATAACCCTTTTAGTTTTTGAACATTTTTTTTTTGTAGAGATCCTCTAAAACCTATGTTAGTAAAAAAAATCTAAAAACACTAAATTTTCATATTCCAAAGTTTTAATACAACAAAAAAAGTTTTATTACAACTTGTGAGCTAAAAAAGCTTAAAATAATAAACAATCTTAATTACACAAAGATTGGGAAAAGAAAAAGAGAGAGAAGGCATTATTTTTATAAAAAAAGGTTCAATAATTTAGACAAAGAAGGCGTTACTTTTGTCTTAACAATAGTGGAAGTGAGAAGCAAAAAATTGAAGGAGTAGAGGCGGGATTCTAAAAGATGCAAAAACGACATCGTTTGTCTTAGAGTTGGAAGAAAAACACACAACAACACTTAGCCAAATTTCAAACAATCTCCTTCTCTCCACTATTGTCTTGCTGAAATTACCGAGAAAATCACTTTAAGCTACCATTTTCATCCCTAAATTGTGCTACCCAAAAGATTTGGGCAGCTTTAGTAGAGTAGCAGATAGCAAAAATCCCTAATTTGGAGCAGCACTTGCTTGCTGGCCAGTTCAATCTCTTTTCTTCGGGTGGTGATAAGGAATCCGAAGCTCTATCCTCATGTCCTTGCTTGTTGCCCTATAAAGAATGCTAACCGCCACCGGCATTTGATGCCATCCGGATGATAAGCTGCGTAGGTCGAGCTGGAGGGCGCAGCAAGCAATCGTTCATAAGCCCCCATTTTGGTACTCAAGGTGGGTTGGTAGCCCACAGCAGAAGGCATTCTACCCAATAAGGCCGTGATTCAGACTGAGAAATGCACTGGAATACTGATGTGTATCATGCACCCCACGCCTCCTATTTGTTTAGGGTGGGTGGTGTGAACTATGATTCTATCCGAGGCAAGAGCACAGAAAATTGACCATGAATTTTGGGGAAAAGCTAGAGTTCGAAGATTGAATCTTAAGGAAACGAAGACCTAAGGTTGTCACGACATAATTTGAGGTAAATAATCTCAATATTTTCCATCTGTTTGCGATATTTTCTGTCCAATATAGGTTGTGTGAGCTGAATGTTGAGTTGTGAGAGTGAAATGAAGTGGAAGGGTGAATCTTGAGCTGAATCTTGGAAGGAAGGGTCTCTAGTTCTTGTCTGCATTGACATGTTTTGTTTTGATTTGGCTGGATTTCACGGTCTAATCATTCTTTCTTATAAGATCTTTCTGTACAGTGAATTTGTTCAGTTTATAAGGTCGTTTTAAGCTGTTTTGCTTGTTTCCTTTGTCCATTTGCAGAAGAATGCAATGATTGGGGGTGTATTAACATGAGCTTTAATATCGGTAGCTAGTAACAAGAACAAAGACAAGATTGTGATGGATGCCATTGCAGGTAGTGCTATTGCAACTACTGCGGAGTTTATCAACCATTTCACATGAAACATAGAACTAGCCTTGGGTCGTGATTTAACACTCAGGCACGTCTCATATTACACATTACTTCTACATTAGAGCATAGTAATAACAACATCGGAAGATGCTTATCTGTCTGGGGACCAAACCATGCTAATCAGCTTTTTCAGGATGTTTTGTTTTTGTTGAAATATGAGATTTAGCATTTAGCAAGATGATCATAAGGCCACGTAGGCCTGCTGCCTTGCTTTGTTTTATACTTCAATTACATTTTAGCCAATTGATTAGAGTGATTACTTTTAAGACTACAAGTTTATGTTGCTCTGAAGAGCCTAAATGTCTATTGTATGCATGAATGTTAGAAGGTTCGTGATAGAGAGGCAGTTCAAAATACTCCATATTTCCTCCACATGTTATTCTAGGTGTCCACTAGGGAATCAAATAAATCATGAAAAGCAAAGGAGCATACCCATTCTGGCATTTTTTTCTGCTCACAGTGCTAAACCCGTAAACGAAAATATAAGTATATTCCTTATAAATATGAAAAACAAGACAGGATAGGGCACATTGACTTTTTTGCTTTCCGATGTGCTTTGGTCATAGGTGAAAAAGTAACTATACTCATTGTAAATATGACGGCTTTGAATATCTCCGTCAAAGATGCAAAAATTCTGAATGCCGCGGATGTGATGGATAAATTCCCAAATTAAAAACCCAAAGTTGTGAGCTTTTCTTGAATGTTACTACTGCTTGTAGTTTGGTTTATGGTTTTAGTTTTTGTTGCATGACCCTAAGATTTATTGGTTTTGATGTAAGAGCTGAAGAAATATTTAGCCTTTTCATCTGAGCTTTACTTTATTCTGGGATATATTGCTCTCATCTGTCACAGTTGATGTTAACGTGTGCAGAACAGCTAAGCTGAAGTGATATATTGCTCTCATCTCTACTTCTTTTCCTGTGGTAAGCATCAAAATTATGTCTTCAAACCGTAAATGGCTGCTTCTAATGTTTTTATGGTTGCTTTTGATGAACTAGCTATTGTCTCTGCTTCTGGTGCAGGTTGCTGGACTGGCTATTGTCTCTGCTATATGCTTTAATTTATATGGTCTCATTGCACTATTTCCAAGTATACTTGTAGGTTCTATACTGGTTTCTTGAATGATTTCTTTGGTTTTTGTTTAGATTCATTGGCGTGTCTCTATAAACCAACATTGCCTTTGTTGCAACTGCTTTACACTAGACTCAAGAGATAATTATGGGCATTTATACCTTTGTTCTTCTGATTTTTCATTACTTGTTAGGTAACTTCTTTGAACTATGTTTTAATATATTGTTTTTCCTTGTTGAACGTGAGCTTTTTCTAGATGGCTTCTGCTTTTTCCCTTGTTAATTATGGAAAAGTCAATCAGTTGCTATTAACAAACACATAATCTAATTAGAAACTTTTTCCAATTCTGATCTTCATTCTCAACCAATAGATAAATTCTACCGGTCAACTACACATTAATGCTTTTGCATTGTATGTAGAAAGTGACTTTCTTTTTAATAGTTCTTAGCTTCTTGCCTTTGTCCAGTCTACTCAAACAACCATTTAATCACTAGGCATTCTTGGTATAGTGACTAAAAGCTAAAGAATCAATGGAAACTCAAACCAAATCAGATGACACTCTTCCACCGACCCGTGTTTGAATCACTTGTTGGTCTCTCTTTTAAAGGATGCAACTAGAACAACACTAACAGATTCATGGTTGCTGCCACTTAACAGTTCTATTCCTTGTTCCTGTGAGACCCCGAAATTTTACTTTTCTTTATAACCCTTATGTGAACTCACTTACTTTTGATTCTTGGTTTCTTTAATGGTTGAATTTGAGCCAAGAGAGTGAATTTTGTTAAGAAGAGTTTCATATTCTCAAGTTGTTAGAAAATCTAGAAATTTTTGCAGGAGGCTTTGCGCAGCTTTGGGAAATTGGCTATAACTTCGTATAGGAAAGTCGGAATTGAGTTCTGTTTGTTGCGTTTGAAACTAAACTCATAAAGCTTCCTATGATATAAAATTTAGAGTTTGATTCAACTTCTATAAATTCCAGAAAATTAGTAAACTTGACTAAAAATTCTGCCCTGCACAAGTAACAATAGGAATGTTGTAGTAGCTTATGGCTCAATTTGAACCAACTTATGAACTGAATCTCTTTGAGGTGTCTTCCAAAGATTATTAGTATTTGAAGTCTAGTTTTTAACAGACCAAGTTATATGAATTTTTTATATTTATAACTCAAGTTATGATTTTTCTAAAGGAAGGGCATAAGTTAGGGTTTTTTGTGCATACTAGGGTTTTTGGTATGTCTTTGGTGCATTTTGATAGTGTGATCACTTGGTGAGATGTGTGTACTAAATTTGGTCGAAAAAAATGAGTATTAGGTAAGAAAAGTATGTGATTAGAAGTGTTAATAATAAGTGAGTGAACCACAACTAAAAACACAAGTATGCGTGAGTTAAAGAAAAACGGCTTGAACCGACGTGCACCGTTTACTACCGATTGAGTGCACCACTTGAGCACTACTTTATTACCTTAATCTCCTTGTTATTATTTCAGAAATGTCAGCCCTAAATATCTCCTCCAAATAGCCGAAATTATTGACTAAATAAAAGAGAGAAAAAGAAAAAAATTGAGACTTCATCTTGCGGCGACACTTGGCGGCCATCCAATCAACTTTGACCAAACCAATTTTCTTTCTTCTTACCTTTCTCTTGCCTTCCATTCTGCTCCATTTCCTTCTCGTTAGCCGAGCTTCAAGAGAGAAAAAAAAACAAGAGAGAAACTAGCAACTTCCACCTTGAATCAAGCTTGTTTGAGCGGAATCGATGAAACTAAACCGATTAACCTTTCCTTTTGGTGCTTGGAAGACTTGGGGTGCTGAAAATTTGGAGAGAAAGTGGTTTATTTCTCACTTACAAGGGACTTTGGGAAGGTATCATGCTTGAACTTGCTTTACTTTTGTTAATTTTGCTAAAATTAGGGATAGAAGTTCTTAATATTGGATTTTGATGGTTGAATTCCTAGTTGTGATGGTATAGTGAAATGTTTAGCTAGGATTTGCAATTTTCAGCCTTGATTATCATTGTTTACCTCATAATTTATGGTATTGAGCTAGGAAATGAATGTGGTGAAGTGTTTGGATATGAATTGCTAGAGTAAAAGTTCAATTTCAGCAATTATAGTGATTCTATCCTGTTTTTGGAATCGAACGGACCTGCATATTTGTCCATGATAAAGGCCGAATCAGGTCTGGCTTAAAACATGAAAGTTGTAGGGAATTGAGTGAACTAGCTTCCTGTAAAGTTGTAACTCAATCGGAGTACTGTAGCTTGTAAAATGACTAAAATATCCCTGACTGCCTAAATGCCTGTTTAACGGACAGCTTTCTATTTTCTCTGAAATTTCACATTTTGACCTTGAAAATGCAGGAACTGGGTGTTGATATCTTCATAAGAAATGTAGGTCTTTGTCTTAGTTTCGAAAAGCCATAAAATCTATTCCAATCCGATAAGTGTAGCTTCAACTGTGACCAAAACGCCGGAAGATGTCAAACCTGTTACTTAGCCATTCATCTTTAAAATTGGTTTCCAGCTTTGATTTTGATGGTTGCATTGCTAGAATTTCCTTGTGTTTGGATGAAATTGAACCTAGTTGAAAAGCTATTGTGTTAAAATTGCTTATGTATGAATTTGGGTTGAATTAAGGAAAATAATGAAGCCATAAATGGTTGGAAAATAGCTAAATACAAAGGGCATGCCGCCCAAATTTTCACTCGAGGGTTAAGCGTATGTACTTACGACTTGAGCGAAGATTTGAAGTCGAATTGAATTTGGATTGTCTATAGTATTCGAGTTTTCTTTCGTAGAGATATATAAGCTAAAATTTGGCCGAAACTCGTACCCTTGGAAAAATGAAAGTAGCGACCATTCAGAATATGTTTTCCTCGTCTTTTAGCCACTTTACGAACTTAAACGTTTTAACTGCTTCCGAAACTAAAAGATTGAGCATGAGTTTTCTAGGGTGTGATAAGCAAAATGAATACTACTTAAATGAGTTTCATTTATTTGATTTTCTAAAGCGAAACTCCTATGTTTCGAACTCTAGAGAGTTTTACATTCTTAAATGATATTTTATCGCAGATTTGAACTCCAACCAAGGAGTTGAACCTGAACGTGATTTTGAAAAGCACTAGACCTTTGGTGAGTGCTTCCAAATATATGATTGAACTTGATACTTGATTAAATTCTTTACCAACGTGATCGGATAAGATTTGTTTGGTTTGGTCGGGCAAGTGTGTAAGGATCGAAGACAACCTAAGAGAGGGGTAAATTAGGTTAATTAGAAAACTAATCAAGTTATGGGCACTGTTTTGCTTAATATGAAATTTACCCTCTTTTCTAAATAATCATACAATGAATCAATCAATGAATGAACAAAATCACTTGAGAGAGGTAGAAGATATAAGCAATTTAAAGATCACACGATAATAATAAGTAAATAAGAAGGGAAGAATTGCAAACCAATTGACTACCAAACTCTTCTTAAATTTGTAGATCAATTCAAACAAACTTCTTCAAATTGATGAAATATAACCAATCTTGTGTACAAAGGAAAGTTCATTTCCTCCTTGCCCCAATCTCCACTTGGTCAAGTTAGGAAGTTTTATTATCCCTCAGGACAACCCTCACAGAGCTATAGTATTGAAGTATTCACTCACAAATGAAAAGCTTACAATGAACTTCACACCACCAAGACTATAAATCTTCCTTGGAGAGTGTTGTCTCACTAAAACTACTCTATATTTTTTGTATCTTCAATGTGCAAAAGTTATTTAAAATTTCTGACCATGCTCTATTTACAAGAGACCAAGAAAATGTTTCATTAATGCTTCCAACGGATAGAAAGTAGCTGAAGAGTTAACTAGCCGTTGGGAGTATCAGACGTCCGGTACATCCGAAGCATGCGTCCGACAGCAGGCAATGAGTTTGAAAAATCTTCTACAATTCTATCGGATGTCCGGTGCTTGCGTCTGAAAGCAGACAATGAGTTAGAAGGAATATTTCAATTCTATCGGACGTTCGGTATTGTCTTTGTGAGCATCCAAAACCATTAAGTACCATTAAGGAAGGAAAATGAGTAGAAACTCCCCCTTACTCATAGCATCCAAAACCATTAAGTACCATAATATAATATTTTCAAATGAACTCCCCCTTACTCATAACATCCAAAACCATTAAGTACCATCATATAATATTATCAAATGAACTCCCTCTTACTCATAGCATCCCAAACCAGCATCCATTTTGTAATTGCTCCCCCTTTTTATCATCATAAAAGTAGAGAGTAATTGCCATAAAAAAAAATAATAGTGGCAACCATCATCAGCCAATAACAGAAGAATAACATCAAAAGATACCAAAAATTATTAATGAACATCAATGAGACAAACATTCATATCAACCAACATTCATTAGTCATTCGAAAACCATCAAAGGAACCTTGGTTCAGAACATCAGAAACATCAAAAGCATTACAAAATACTTGTAGCGATTATACTTCTATATTTCTTCTCATCAATTTTCGTACCTGCTTGAGTTTGAAGCACTCGGAGTCCAAGGAAGAAATTCAAACTCCCATCATACTCATCTCAAACTCATTTAGCATAATAATAAAAAAAATTCTTGCACAAACACTCATTAATAGCACTAAAGATAATATCATCCACATATATATGTACAAATAGAAGATCATTTGAACATTGTTTAGAGAAAAGAGTAGTATCCACAATACCCCTTTTAAAAACATTCTCAACCAAAGAAAAAACTATCCACTTTTTTTTTTTTTTTTTAAAAAACCAATCTCAATCAAGAGATTTGGGTCTTTGAGAATTAGCATCATGTCTAACTCTTCACATGCATTTCATGATTCTTCTCATATTTTTCCTCACATAGCAATCACTTTTCATGTGACCTTTTTGACAACAAAAATTACACATAACCAAAGAGTTATTTGCAAAAATAGGTTTAATAAATCTTGTTGACCTTGGTTGATCAGTCCTTGATTTTGATGATTAACAAACCAAAATGTAGATTTGGACTAATATTTTTATGTAAGAAATTTGTTAGAACAGGTCATTGATCCAAAAGAGAATCGAAAAGATTTGAATCAAAGAGAAGTTAAGAAATATGAAGGTTCGGACGTAGAGGATCGGACGCTCGATAGAGGATCGGTCGTCCGACTGAC